CATATCATTCATAAGATAAGTGAATCCTATCAATTTTGTAAAGCAATATGAGAAAAGGCATTATATTTTATATTAATTGCATAAAGTCGCCAGAATCAACGCCTTGGGCACAATTCCCATTCATCTTCTACCTTGTTAACTCCGCTACTGTATGTATGTGTGCATGGGTAGAGTGTGTGCATGGGTAGAGAGAGAGAGAGAGAGGGGGGGGGGGGCAGGGTGGCAGTTTGAAGGTCCCTTTTGGATGAGAAGCCACATGGAAGCTGTGATATAAACCCATTTACACGAGAGAGAGAGAGAGAGCTGTCCTTATTCCTGTCTTCTGTATTTGTTTCACTTTTACCACTAGAGATCAGAGAGCTCAGTTCTAGATTACCTTGAGAGAGAGAGAGAGAGATGGCAATGGGGGGAATTATGAAGGGACACACACTACAGAGTAGTAATGGGAACAGAAAGAGACCATATGGGTTGATGCTGATTCTAGCATTTGGGGCTGCAATATTTGGAGTAATGGTTCTCCATAAGCTCAGGGAGAGACGCATTTTTAACCTCCTTGTCATAGAAAAAGACCGTCAAATCATTTCCCTTCAACTTCTCCTGCAGGTTATCCCGCCTCCCTCCTCCTCTTCTTATTCTTCTCTCTCTCTCTCTCTCTCTCTGCACATACATATTCATGTCCACATGCAGATTCTAGTTGCATGCATGGCGCATCATTACTACATTGCATTATCAGGTAAAACAGGATTGATCTCCTTTTTTTTTCCTTCTATTTTCATTTCTTCTTTTTTTATTGTGTTTTTTTTGGGTGGGGGTGTCTCTTAGGAATGCTTGTCTGGTGTAATATTAATAGCATGTTCTACACCGAATGTAAGCACTTTCTGCTAATATGTCAGATTCCTACATTTACTAATTTGTCTNTCTTTTTTTATTGTGTTTTTTTTGGGTGGGGGTGTCTCTTAGGAATGCTTGTCTGGTGTAATATTAATAGCATGTTCTACACCGAATGTAAGCACTTTCTGCTAATATGTCAGATTCCTTCATTTACTAATTTATCCATTGATCGTATGACTCAATGCAAATATAACCGTAAATGCATTGAAATAACAAGACATAAACCTGAAATAATACTACTAGAACACGACACGATTCGATTTTCATCCCGATTTTATGTAGGGAATCACGCGACTGGCAAACAAGGTATGGGTATCAACACCTTTATAAAATGAGCTCTGTCACANAAACCTGAAATAATACTACTAGAACACGACACGATTCGATTTTCATCCCGATTTTATATAGGGAATCACGCGACTGGCAAACAAGGTATAGGTATCAACACCCTTATAAAATGAGCTCTGTCACGTGATCTCGCATGATAATTTGTAGTTGCTTACCTCTTTAAGCATCCAGATGCCATTTTTTCTGGTGCAGGGCTGAACTGGAGCACTATAGTTTTGAGAAAAAGTTAAAATGAGCTTAACATATCATGTGACACTCTTGCAACCAATGAGAGGCCGACACAAAACTAACTTGTGAAAAAAACAAAAAATATTTTATTAGTAATGTAAACCACATGGTGGTTAACGCCGTTTATCAACTTCTCTGAGCTGGGATTCAAATTTTCTTCGATACTTTTCTTTCATTGTGCTCAATAATAGACCAATCACCGTGAAATGGTGAGAGACACGCAATATAAGTTCATGGGAAGCAAATAACTTTTGTTTACACCAAAACTGGGTATTAGTGGGAACATAAAGATAAAAGAATTAACTAAGTATCAGATCGACCAAATTGAACAAATGATAGGTTAAGATCATTTTGTTCATTGCGAATTGAAGAGGGGAGAACGAGTAGACATCGAACGATTAATTTCGATGTACATGAAACTAAATAACAACATAAATAGCTTCTGCCACATTAAATCACATACATAGCTGACAGAAGAATTATGAAGTTTCAGTTTTGCTAGATTTCTTAAAGCTGATGCTGCATGTCCATTCTCTTGTAACACAGAAGGAAAGAGATGATACCAAAGGAGCTGAAAGGAAAATTGAAGAGATGAAAGCAAAGATATACAAGTTGCAAACCCTGAAAATGGAACTCAACAGTAGAATATTGGAGATGCAGTCCACAATTTCTTCCCTGAAAGACGAACAAAGGATGATCGGGTCGGCCCTTGAGGAGAAGCAACATGAGATCAAACTCCTGAGAGAGAGAGAAATAGATTTACATAAAGAAAATCCTCAAGTTATAGCTCTATCTGAAACCTGGAGACGGAAAGAAACTGAAATGGATTCTGAATTACCGGTTAAGGTCTGGTCAGTGAGTTCGGATGACCCATCAAACCCACCTGCAAACTTGACTAATACAGCAAGTATAACACAAAGGGAAGAAACTGAGGTCAATGAGAGCGAGAAACACACTAGTGAAGGGTTGCATGGATCCACCAATTATTACAAAGACGAGAAGAATTCAAGGGGAAGCTCAACACAAAGTGAAGAGAAAAGAGAAAATGAAGTGGGGATTGCTAATGGGAGGGAAAGGATCAGAGAAGAACAGTTTCAGAAGGTCGGTGATTCGAAGGAAGATGATGGACATGAAGGCACTGCTGGTGAAAAGAGCACTGTCGAGGACCACGTAAAGAACCTTAAGGATTTTCAAGCCATTGATGTAGAAAAATTTCGAAGTACCAGAGATGCTCAGCCGGGAAAACTATCGAGTTCCCTAGGGGGTGACAATCAAGACTTGAGGGTAGCTTATAAAGGTGGAATGAAGTTAGAAATGCCTAACAACAGTCAAGGTGGAGATTATAGGTTGAGGGGGAACCGTGACCACGTGAGGAAGACAAAAGGAAAGAGACCGAAAATCATTGCTAGGAATAGGGTGTTTCGAAACAAGGGCAACCCTGAAGACAGTGGAGTTGCAAGCATGAATGGCAGAAGATTCTTCACAGATGCATTGAAAAGTGAAAGGAACAAGAGGCTCGATGATGACAGCAAAGAGGACAAACTGCAGCGACAAGAACATCATGATGTAAACTTGAAAATCAGAGATGAATTTGGGCAGGAAGATGGTAAGTCAATAACATCTGACAAGCCTCAACAAGGCGAAGGTTTGAAGTTTAACCAAGTTGGATTACGAAATGGTGAAGCCGGAGCAGGCTTGAATAGGGAAAAAGGCGAAAATGATCAACAAATAAGTGAAGATAGCCCACAGGAGGTTACAAGAGCTGCTGTTTCTGATGAAGTCAAATTGCTAACAAATAAGTACGAACGCACTGAGAAGCTTCATAGTTCTCCTGATCAAGTGCTAACTGAAACTGATAGTGAAACCAGTGAAACGTTCCCCGTTGACAACAAACAGAAACCAGGCGAAGCCAAACAATCAAAAGAACAAGACACCGTCATCAAACAACAGATAGAGAGGAGGGATACAGACAAAGTAGATGGCGCATCAGAACAAGCAATAATTGCAGACAAAGATGAAGAACCAGATGATCCAGATGTCATGGATGTTCACGATGTAGAATCAGACGTAGATAATTCCATAGATTCACCATCTGAGTTGGAAGAAGATAGAGAAGACTACAAGGAGCAAACATATGAGCCTGAATTTTAGCTAACTTAACGAACTTTTGATGCTTTGCCTGATGTAGTATATTGTTAGATACTTGCATTTCTATTCCTGTTTAGAGCTGCTAAGATGCATCTAAAAATCAAAAATATCAGAAGGAACATCACAGTTATGTACTACTGCCAAGTCTTACACCAGAGCTTGAAGAACTCCTACAGGTCCAGCTTATTCAGGTCCAATATAATGTGCAGTGTCTGCCTTTCAGCTAAGAAAATTCATTAATAAGAGACTCCATAATTGATGATCTCTGCAATATAAGGTGTGGTATACCTATAAGTTGTGGTTTACTTATCAGAAAGAGAATACCTTATGTACGTCACAGTCTATCAGTATTCACTCTCTTCCATATTCATTATCAAATGAGAGGTCTGATTCAGATTATTGATATGCAGGATAAAAATAGCAGACAAAAGAAAATGGCTGGATTGTTTCACCATAATGTCATAAATGTTTGAAAATCCATCACTTGTCATTCTCAAAAAGTTATTCATTTAAGCAGGAAAGAACTGTGCCCATACAAAGAAAATGTGATCCCAGGCGAGGAAAAAGTCCAAGCAAACACATTATTAGAAGCAAAGCTTCTGGGATAATGCCGTCAAGAACCTTCATTCCTAGTGTGATGCTTCCACCAATTTCTGCAAATAGATGAAAATGAGTTAGCAAAATCTAAAACTATGAGATGACTGCGNGATAATGCCGTCAAGAACCTTCATTCCTAGTGTGATGCTTCCACCAATTTCTGCAAAGAGATGAAAATGAGTTAGCAAAATCTAAAACCATGAGATGACTGCTNAGAACCTTCATTCCTAGTGTGATGCTTCCACCAATTTCTGCAAATAGATGAAAATGAGTTAGCAAAATCTAAAACTATGAGATGACTGCGGTATGTGTCAAACAAGCCTTCTTGTTCAAAACCATTTGTATGTTCACCATGAAACAGGATGAGTGATAATTCCCTACTCAACACTTTATGAGAAATCTAACAATCCATGTAAGACCCTTATTATTTGCACAATTATCTATCAAAGTTGCAAGACCTCCATTTTGTAGTTCTGAAGGACCATAGTGTAAAGCATTTTTGGAAAAAACAGGAACCAAAGGCATACATAAAAATTGATATAGTTTGAATGGTTTAACTCCTAAATTGCAAGTTACAGATTTTTAATGGAAGTCTAATACATGTTATTGAGTCACAAATTCGTGGGGTAAACTCATGGGGTATGAAATGCAAATTCCTGCAAGAAATGAGATCAAAGCGAGATTCAACATAACAGAGAACCTAACGAGAAAAGCCAAAAGTTAAGCGCCGCCACCGGTATCTGACCAAGTGATGGCATCCACATACTTTTAAACACCAAGGCTCAAGACGAAAGGGGTTGTGGAAAGGTCAGAATGTGTCAGCAATCTCAATTTGGCTTTTGAGTGATGATTTTTTTTGTGTGTTTGTGGTTTTTTTTTTTTTTGGAGGGGGGGGAGCGGTGGGGGAAGTGTTGCAAATATAGCTGAAATCTGGGCAGAAGATTTCTGGATTTTTGTATNGTTTTTTTTTTTTTTGGAGGGGGGGGAGCGGGGGGGGAAGTGTTGCAAATATAGCTGAAATCTGGGCAGAAGATTTCTGGATTTTTGTATACCGAAGTTTGAGGGCCCACAGTTAAATGTGTGCTTTCAATTCAACAAATCTTAAATTCGGTGTGTAGCCTCCATCCTCATCACATTAAGTAATGCCTTTTTTGAAAACCATGATACCTAAATTCTACAGGAAAAATCAATGCACAAACTTCCCCAATAAAGGCCTAATTGCTGAGGCAGGTAAACAAACCACACAAGTGACACAACAAAANGGAAGTGTTGCAAATATAGCTGAAATCTGGGCAGAAGATTTCTGGATTTTTGTATACTGAAGTTTGAGATATGTTAATAGTCCTCCCAACTAGACAGTGCGTATTTGCAAATCAAATTGTCACCAGTTGACAGCGTGTGACTTTGCAGAACAAGGAGATTTGCAAAAAGCGAATGCTTGCCAGATCTCTCTCTCAATGGGCATGCTGCCTTCTCCCAGCATCTGTCCAGGCAAAGTGTGATCTACTGATTTAAAAGAATACTGCTTGCCAGATCTCTCTCTCAATGGGCATGCTGCCTTCTCCCAGCATCTGTCCAGGCAAAGTGTGATCTACTGATTTAAAAGAATACTGCTAGTAGCCTACATACGACACACACGGGTCAATAATGACAAGTACCAGATACGGATGGATCTTGAAACTAAGTGACTATGTTTGTGGCCGCTACCAATCTTGAATAAACAGGTACTACACCAATAAGGTTTTTCATACAAATGGAATATTTAGACAATCAATGATCAATCCCTAAATTTGTAATTCATTTTACACAGAAATAAAACAGTCCCTCGCCCCCGTTGACCATTTCTTACAAATTTTCATCAACTAAGCCATTAGAGCTGAACACCCAAAAAAAAAAAGTTAAACAAGTTTACCACCAGACAAAAGTGCACCCCCTCTTTCTTATTATAGTTTATAGATATTAATGAATTTTTTTCACAAAACCTGAGAACTAATCACAAAGTGCCCTCTTCATCAGTGGGTGGGAATAGCAGGTTTCGTAAAAGTAGAAACGTTGCAGTCACCAACTAACTAGAAAATTATGGATTGAGTATCACTCAAGCTGCATGAGTAAAATAATTGTTTATTTTAGCATCCACTTGCATGTGATTTTCAGGCTATGGCCCATTCAAAGTATGCTGCACTCAATTATGTGGGAATTATTTGACTTAGAAATTACTAATTTTTGGCAATATCCAAAAATTATTGAGGGACTATTGACTTAAATGAAAATGTAGATAATACTGAATGGTCTCACAGTGTCAGTTATATTTCACTAAATAGACATATTATCCAACAATATTTATAACAGTAATTAAGGTGAAGTTTCATTAAGTTAAAAATCAGCAAGCTCCTTATCCTAAGGGAAGAAAATTTACAAATGTGATTATTAAACTAGGTTATAACTTAGAAGAATAACATATAAAGTTCACAATTTGAACAAAAAGGGTGAGAAACAAGTACCTCTTCCGTGTTCTTCTTGCCACCAGTGAAAAACTTGTATCCCCCAAAGAAAAGCAAACCCCAGCCCGATAAAGAGACAATCACAAACTGTAAAGCAGAAGATGAGTCATAAATAAAATTTCCGACGTGTCCGCAACATAATTTCAGAAGCTCACAAAATTGTTGCGTAGATATCATGTGTGCTGTAAGAAGTGTGTGAACAGTGAAATATAATAATCAAATTAAAAATTAAGTTCAACAGATTTAGAAAAGGAAAAAATAGAAAGATGTAATAGGTCAGAGTACCAAAAAATTGTATTGCCTAAACCAGCATGTGTAATCAAGCCAGACATCACAGGTCAAAATAAATGAATAACACAGCCTGTAGTTAGTTATTTATAATATATTTGTAGATCTAAGACAGAGCCTAAAGTTAAGTAGCATCTTTTTTGAAAGCAAAATTTGTTGTACGGTCCCAAAAAATGCTCTCTCAAGGAAACGTGGGAAAATACTACAGATAGAAAAGTACTAAAGACATAAATTTATCCAGTTTGGAGTTCCAATCCCAAACCAAAATATAAAGACTTCAAAGCTGGAGCTATACTGTAGAATAGCAGTTCATGGTACCAAAAGTTGACCCACATGAAAACAAATGCACTTGACTTAGCCAATACGCAAAGGCATGAGCAAAGACAAAGTTGCATAAGCATTAAACACATAAAAGATATATACGAATAAATTCCGAGTTACAACTACTCTCATAACTTATCTGAAATTTATCAAAGAAATTGCCAAGAGTGTATGATTCATGCAGACCAAAATATATTCCAAGGGTATATTTTCACATAGCTGAAAGACTGATAAGTTCAATTCGCACAATAGTATAGACTATAAATATTGATATCTCATAAAGGGGCCAGTGCAACAATAAACTTTCAGTCAAGTTAGACAGTTGGTTCTAATAATTCTTTTCAGGCCATTAAACTTCATCAAGAACTATGTCCTTGGTTAAATTGTATGCCCCTTGTCTTTCCACAGGAATAAATCAACAAGCTAAAACTCATAGCCATAACTGTTTGTCTTTCTCCACTTCATGCCTCAAACCATGTTCTTCTGGTCACCACTTCACTAGTGAAGTCATCAATCTTCATTGCAGATAATTTGTTCATCAAGAACTATGTCCTTGGTTAAATTGTATGCCTCTTGTCTTTCCGCAGGTATAAATCAACAAGCTAAAACTCGTAGCCATAACTGTTTGTCTTTCTCCACTTCATGCCTCAAACCATGTTCTTCTGGTCACCACTTCACTAGTGAAGTCATCAATCTTCATTGCAGATAATTTGTTCATCAAGAACTATGTCCTTGGTTAAATTGTATGCCTCTTGTCTTTCCGCAGGTATAAATCAACAAGCTAAAACTCGTAGCCATAACTGTTTGTCTTTCTCCACTTCATGCCTCAAACCATGTTCTTCTGGTCACCACTTCACTAGTGAAGTCATCAATCTTCATTGCAGATAATTTGTTCATCAAGAACTATGTCCTTGGTTAAATTGTATGCCTCTTGTCTTTCCGCAGGTATAATCCAACAAGCTAAAACTCGTAGCCATAACTGTTTGTCTTTCTCCACTTCACTAGTGAAGTCATCAATCTTCATTGCAGATAATTCAATCTCATATGCCTATTTTTCACCTTTTCCTTGATTGGGCTACCTTTACCAACTCACAAATGTGTTTATTTACTATTCTATCTCCTGTTCAAGCCACATATCACTAACTCAACATTATCTATCAATTACTTCAATCTAAAATGATGCCAAATGATTACCTAGCTTTATTGACCCCAAAGCTGACTGCAATGGGTATATGAACGTCCCACATCACACTGCATCCAGCAAAACATACTCTTCAATCACCTCATGCTTAGAGATTGTTGACAAAATTATAACCATGATTGCTTTTTCTACTTATCTATCTCACACATAATCTCAAGTTGNTTTTTCACCTTTTCCTTGATTGGGCTACCTTTACCAACTCACAAATGTGTTTATTTACTATTCTATCTCCTGTTCAAGCCACATATCACTAACTCAACATTATCTATCAATTACTTCAATCTAAAATGATGCCAAATGATTACCTAGCTTTATTGACCCCAAAGCTGACTGCAATGGGTATATGAACGTCCCACATCACACTGAATCCAGCAAAACATACTCTTCAATCACCTCATGCTTAGAGATTGTTGACAAAATAATAACCATGATTGCTTTTTCTACTTATCTATCTCACACATAATCTCAAGTTGCTTAGAGAGGGCAGAATAAGTAACAAAAGTGGAGGATTTTTCTTTCCATATTTCCACAATGATATTCCAAAATCAATAGGAAGCATTTCATTTACAAGTAAGTGTTCATTGTTAATCCACTGGTAAATTGCTTGGACTGTTAGGCATGGGAGCATAGGTTTGAGTCTACAAGTGGACACTTGGTTGTCAGGCTAGGTGTGTATGTGCTCCACCCTGCCAGCACATAGTACAAGTGGGACTGCATGGGATATTACCCTTTTTCTTTTCTGTTGTTATTGAAATAACATCTATATAATAAAGTAGAGCAATTTTTGAATTCCAAAGACAAAAAGAAGCTGAGATCAAATTGGTTTTGGGATAAAACAAGCATAATCCGATAGACCACCTTGTCCCAACATAAAAAAACGGTTCAGATCATTTTAGAATTCATTGATCCCACAAACCAGAGTGAATCCCAAATATTTTATCCTGCCCCAAATTTTGAATTTTTGAATCCCTCCCAATCTGCCCCTCAACCACGCCCTAAATCACCAACACCCTAAATCAAATGTCTACCACCCCAAGAAACTCTCTCTCTCTCTCTCTCTCTCCCTAGAGGCCAACCCACTATACCCACTTCATCCCCTATCTATCTGTGTTGCTGTTCCCCTTCCCCTTCCCCTTGTAGACCAACAGCGACTCTCTCTCACTCTATTATACCACAGTGCCACCGTCATCACCACACAGCCTTCCTAGGTAATTTCTCTCCATTCCCTCCCCTCCCCTCCCCTCCCCCCCAGCACACACACACAACAATCGCAGACACAGAACACACACACACAAAGACACAAACGCTAACACATAAACATGCACAACTCACCCAGGAAACACACCCACAAGCACCACATGCACAGAACCAGATCTGAAATTTATTTCATTAGTTGTTACAATTTGTGGTTGGTTTGATGTTTTTGGCTTTTATGTGTAGATTTTTGTTGCAGATCTGAAGTTTTGGTTACAAATTGAAGCATCTCTTAGGATATTTACGGAACTAAATTTTTGGTTTTTCTGTGTATATGTTTACACAACACCCAACTGTCCGACGAACCACATATTCTGGCAATCAGCAACTGTGGCAAAACCTTTAAGGTGGTCTCCCTTTTTTCGTCTCCCCTCTTTCTTCTCCTCTTTCTCTTTTTTTTTTTTTTTTTTTTTTTTGCAACACACGGACACATATACACACAGAACACACGCACACAGCATCACAAACCATGTACAAATTGATTGTGCTATTCTTTCTCTATAACAACAGGGTGAGAGGTCCTCTTTCAAGTATAATCTTCAATTTTATTTTTTGTTCAAATCAATTTTTTGAAAAAATAAGATCGTGTGAGGTTGAATATATTTGTATGCACAGTCATCGTTTAGCCACAAAAATGAGGAAAAACCTGCTTACGACAATCACGTGGTTGGACATTGGAATTTATGATCTTTAATTTATTTAAAATAACATATTTGATTTGTGTTGCACTTAGCCATTAAAGAATTTTTGGGTGCTTAATTGAGTGTGGCCTGTTTTCAATTTATTTTGTTGTTGGCTTTCGTATCTTTCTTCCATCTTCCCTATATTTATTTAAAACCAAGATAATGGGACATAAAGCCTTACCCTGACTAGGCATTACAATTTTGTGTGGGATAACCCACTAAAGGTAATAAAAAGTACAAATCAAATAAAATACATGCAATGGTTGGTATTGTGCTCAAATAATTTTTTGGCATTGCTATCTTCTACACATAAANAAATCAAATAAAATACATGCAATGGTTGGTATTGTGCTCAAATAATTTTTTGGCATTGCTATCTTCTACACATAAATACATGCAATGGCTGGTATTGTGCTCAATTACCCCAAACAATCAGACCGAAAATTAGACTGCATGGGTACATTATTATTTGTAATATACATAAGCGGTTAATTGACTATAGAAACTTTGAAAGAAAAAAATTCATTACATTCTAGGTTTAAGAATTGAGGTGGGTAACGATCAACATAGAATATTTTGCATTTTTTCTTATTTGTGACATTTCATTGGGTGGATTTAATATACGAAGTCTTTTTCGTTGGTAACTTTCTGGTTTTCGACGTGATTTGCTATACTAACTAAATAAACGGTTTCCCGCTCTCATATCATCATTCACTGTGAGTTCACGAATTGCATGCTTAGAAAAACAAAATATAAGACAGAAAAGGAATCTCTTTTGACAAAATGGCAGATAACAATCATGTATATTTGCCTTTTTTGAATAATACATATCTATTTTTTTTTTCAAACAGGGCAACGACTAGAATTGGTGTGAGAAGCGACCTCCTCTCCACCGAGGGACAATGCGACATGACATGCAACAATCTGTGATTGGGATGGAACATTGATTCTCATGTCACAGAGATACCAATTTATTCTATAACTTTTGGTAAAAATGGTAAGCTCTTATTTTGTGCTCTTGGTTTTTTAATTTCGATTTAGTTTCTCCAATTGATTCTTGTTTTGGTGCTCTTGATTTCTTAACTTGGTGTCCTCATGATTTTTTTTTCACTTTGAATCGATTTGATTGCCAATGATCATAAACTATTAGTTGGTGAATCTATGTTTGACCCTTATAACTTTGCATTCTCATTTTTTAAGTATTATTTTATTTGATCCTGGTATTGGTTGATACATTGAGATATCTTGAACACTTGCTTTTTATGCATGCCACCATGTTACGCAAAAAAAATATATATATTTCTAGAGAATATATATACTTATCAATCAATTTTTAATGGGACATGCTTAACGATAATCAATCATCTCTAAGTAATTATGGTATATGCTTAATGCGAAAATCAATCTTCTAAAAGTAGTTGCTTATACTTGATACACTTGCTTATTTACTTTTTGACAGGTTGCTCTACTAAATCTTATTACTATCTTTTCAATTGGAGTCGGAGTAATTGATGTATGGACAATGAGATCAGAATGCCCTTCCATAGCAGACTAGCCGTTCATATATTTTTTGATAATCATGTGGTTGTATTAACTCATATCTTATATGAAGTCAGGTTCAAGATTGGGTTAATTAGTTCTAGAATCTATAATTGTCTGCTAGCTTTAAAACTCCTTTTTCTCTTTAAGTTGTAGTGTTAGTTTTTTCTAAAAATGGATGTGTTTTTTGTTGCCTGGAATTCTCTGTTGTTCCATGAAGGAAAATGATGTTCCACTGGTATAAATATTAATTGAAAGGAGTATGTGTGATGGTTGAGTATTGAGCTATTATGTGAAAATTAATTGGGTTGAAAAATGTAATGTGATAGTCAATTTGATGCTACAATCATTTAAGGTTAGCTGAATTAGTAGTTGTGGGTGCTATGATATTTTTTTCGTTTTCAAAGTTCTTTCCCGTTTGCTAATTTTTGCAGGTTTTATTTTTTATTTTAGCAATTTTGTTGTATTACAATGTGCCTTCAGACACGGGGATTAGCTAGTATATTTATATAATAAGGTAGTTAGGAGTTTGAATCTTATCCCCACATATTTTTCTCGCCCATTCTATCTCATTGTCCATTTCTATCATAAGTTGAATTATTTAATTTGTTTATTAATTTATGGCTCAATACAATTTTCATTTTCGGCATTATTCGTATACGATAGTATATACATGTTGATATTTTTTTTTGAGGTCATGTATTTTGAGAATTTTTTTTAATAAAAATAATTGGTATAAATTAATTTCAAATTATGTAATAAAATAAAATAAAATTTGTTATTCGTTATAGTGGTATCGATTTTTTGAATGCTCGGATTTTATGTTGCATTTTGCCTTCAAAAGCAGGCTAAGAAGCATGGACACGAACACGGACATACCGATACGACATTTCTCAAAAAAGTAGGACACGGACACGATAAAAAAAATTATATTTTATAAATAACATTATATAATTTATTGCAAATATAATGATAATGATATACAATTTATAAAAAAATCAGTATTTTATGATAAGAAAACCTAATGTGTAATCATCTGTGTGAATTTTTAGACTAAAACATCCTCATTATAGTCAATAATCATAATTTTTTTTTTGTAGGCAATATGTACCTAATATATAATTTAAATAATTCCTCTCATTTTCTCAATTCCTTTTTTTTAAAACTTGCATGCATATTTTATTTTCATTATTATATTTGGAGTACAACTTTAATATGTCTAGTATTAGTAATTATATCTTCTCAAATTTTTAAATTTTGTTAATCACATTTCAACAAATGTCTATTATTTAGTAGTAGACACGTTCTAAAGAAGTGTCGGACACGTCACCAAAAAAGTGTCTGACACGTGTCCGAAATTAAAAATTTATCATTTAATTATGAACACACATAAAAGAGTATCGGACACATGTCTGAAGAGTGTCAGTGTCCGACACGGATACGTCACATTCTCGAGAGTGTCCGTGCTTCATAGGAAGCAGGTTATGGCTAATTAGGGTGTGTTTGTTCTAGGTATTAAGAAGAAATCTTGAACAAAATAATGTTTGTGCCTACATTATCCCATTTACTCCCTTATTTGGATACATACCAAAGGCCAGGAATTGTGAACTAAAAATACTCCCACCCTAGATGAATAGTATTTTTGAACCCACATATAGCCTCTTAAATAAACTCATCTATTTGGTGAGTTTAAATAGTCCGGTTGGGGTAAGTTTTGGTAAAAGATATTTTTACCCTTAAAAATCTCTAGGATATAATAATCTTGAGGATTATTTATTAATTTAACGTTTATATCATCATTCAATTCTCCATNTAGGAATTGTGAACTAAAAATACTCCCACCCTAGATGAATAGTATTTTTGAACCCACATATAGCCTCTTAAATAAACTCATCTATTTGGTGAGTTTAAATAGTCCGGTTGGGGTAAGTTTTGGTAAAAAATATTTTTACCCTTAAAAATCTCGAGGATATAATAATCTTGGGGATTATTTATTAATTTAACGTTTATATCATCATTCAATTCTCCATCCAAATAAAGTATTAGATGGGATAGATGTGAGGCCAAAATCCAAGGCCCAAATAGATGGGTATGGGACGAACAGGTTTGTCCAATCTGGTACTATCTNCGGTTGGGGTAAGTTTTGGTAAAAAATATTTTTACCCTTAAAAATCTCTAGGATATAATAATCTTGGGGATTATTTATTAATTTAACGTTTATATCATCATTCAATTCTCCATCCAAATAAAGTATTAGATGGGATAGATGTGAGGCCAAAATCCAATGCCCAAATGGATGGGTATGGGACGAACAGGTTTGTCCAATCTGGTACTATCCAATGCCTAAACCAAACACAACCTTAGAATATAAATGACTCTCACTTGAGTTACTTCAATCAACATTCAGTATAAATGAAATGAACTGAACTCTACATAGCAGAAAAACCTAGAATAAGAGGCTAGCCAATAGTCATATTTGTATTAACTGAAATGATGCTCAAAATTCATGTGAAACTCCAAAATTCTCACTTTATCCTGCAATCAATTTGGGTAATTCAGCATAATGTACACAATAAGAATTCCACATTTTCAAGAAAACGCAATAAGAGTCGAGACTCACATGCTCTTCCTTCCATTTAGATGGACTCATTGGGTCTTGCCAACAGTTAACTTTTGGAGGTCCATGGGGATCTACAATCATAAATCAAGGTAGAAATAAATCACCGTAGAACATCAACACATATGTATGTACATATAGATATACATACACACGGACATATATCGAATCGATCTGAGGTTACATTGAAATTTTAGGAGAGAGAAAATTAGTACCTGCAGCACCAGCAAGGCCACGGCGCTGAATTAGGGCTTGAGCTGATGATCTAGGAGAGGAGAGCCGAGCTAGGGCTACGGCTTGACGAGCCGTTTTCGCTGCCCAGGAAGAAGCCATGGATGAGAGAGAAAATCGAACTATCGCCTTTTCAGAGTCTGAGATTCCAGGTCGTGCAAATCGGGAATGAAGAGTGGCAGGAGGACATGAGAGTGTAAACTAGTAAACGATAGCGTATTGGTTGAAGCCCCTTGAGAATTTCTAAAAAGACCCCTTTGGCTTATATCTGATCATACTATGACCCCCATTTGAAATTATACACTCCCCCCCCCCCTTAAAAAAAAAAAAAAATCCGGCCTTTCGCACTTTGTATCCTAAAAGATGTCTCAGTTTTCACTTTATACCCTAAAAAATATTTTTTTTACATTACACACTATATGTCAAAAATTGGCTCCAATGTGGCTCTCAAATTAACATTTATTTTAAATATCGTTAAAAATTGATGTACATATCACCTAAGGATATGAAATGTGAACTTATATTTTTGTTCAAAAGTAATGCATGTGGGTGGTATGTGCATCAATTTTTAACGGAATCTAAAATGAATATTAATTTGAGGGTCACATTAGAATTAATTTATGATATTTAGGGTGTAATATAGAAAAAATAACTTTTTAGAATGTAAAGTCAGAATCGATGTATCTTTTAAGGTGCAAATTATGAGAAAACCTAAAAATTCATACAAGAATAGTTTTATTGTTTTACAATATTCATCCAAAAAATTGATGAGCGGCTTGACTGTTTGGTAAGTCGGTCGAGGAGTGGAGTTTGGTGGTGAAGTTCATGTTGTTTATGGTATTTTAAATTTTGTAAAATCACTTATTAATATTTTTAATTTGAACCATGTAATGTATAACAAAACAGTAACAATTAAGAGTTACACAAAAACAGTCTTACACGAAAGAGTTATACAAAAGAATTACACGCAATTGTTTGTTTAAGCAATATAAATATTAACTCAGTTACAAAACAGGAACTATTATTGAACTTTTATGTTGATCAATGTTAGTATTTGATACTATATCATTTAGACAGATTTCACCCTCACACACGGTACTTATAGAATATCGAGCGTCTGCCTCTCAGAATACAGTGATCTTTACACGAGCAGAAGTAACACTCCAATCTACCCGTCTAGCGAACCAAATATTGTATTGTGTATTCTCTAATTGCAAACTTTCTTAATAATGTATGAGACTGTCTTAAATGATTAAGAATGTATTAAATGAATTATATACAAAATGACTATGTGACTAGGTTTTTTATATAGAGAATGGTGACTGTCCGAATTAATTACCATGTGAACAGATGCAACCCAACAAACACATGCAGCAGCCATAAGACACCACTTGTGTAACTATTCTCTATGAATAGACACAACTCAATTTCAGATTGGAGGGAAGCAACAAATCCAATCCAATGGATACCGAAAATTAATTCCAGGTTAAGAAATTCACGCTCAATTAATTAAACGAATTTTCTCTAAAAAAATATAGGATTTGGTCTAAACTACACCCAAGTTCGGCTGGGGCGGGCGGCGCACATGTGTGGTCGAATCGAAAGCATGTAGGCACTCACTCCGCTTATAAAATCCTGTTACTCCTTGGAGCCCAATCCTATAGAGCAAACTTGGCCTATATATGTTCATGTTGAATTTCTTCCTCAACTAATGTGGGATTTGTGTCAAATCTCACATTGCACAACCTCTATTTTCACATTTCAAAATGATTACTTTGGAGTCTATTTTTTCATTCTTTTCTTACTTGAATTGAGTAAGTGAATATATTATGTTATTCTCATTATGAAATAGATTATGAATCCACGAAATTTTTCATAGAAACAACGAACGAATTTCACTTTAATTTAGCCTCAAAGTTGACCAAATATTTAGTTTTTACGCTTAAAAAACTATTTTGATCCAACAATTCCTGTTCTACCTTGTCCCTACGGAAACTCCGGTGAATATCTAAGGCTTTTCCTGGTTATCAAGGCAGTTAAAGCCCCTTGGTTTGGTAGCTCCTCAAAAATCCAAAGCCTTCTCTAACTTGTCTGTGTGTGGTGCACCATTAAGAAGAAAGTCTCATTACATCTTGCGAATGTGGAGCAATTGAAACTGTTGTCAGAGTGCCAATAATGGTAGTCTAACAACATGGTATGAAGAGTTTGGCCATTTCTACATCAACCAACATCTTTTTTATACTTAGGTTTTATCATATTTTTATATAAAGCCTCATCTTCGGTCTGGAGTTGGATATACTAAGTAATGATCATATTCAAGTTCGAGTGTCAAATTTGGTAGCATAAGGGACATTTGATGATACTGTTAAGTTCATAGTACATGCCAAAATAGTAGCATTGCCACTCCTATAATTCAGTGAGCTTGGTCAACACAAAGATCAATACATATGGTCTCCCTTTCTTTTACCTTGTGTTTGGTAGAAATGAAAATGAATGGATGAAAAGTGATAATTTTCTCTATTTGGTATGAATGGAAAAAAAAAAAAAAAAAGAGAAAGAAAAATGGATGGAAAGTGAATCAGTTTCGTCCACCATTTTTTATCTGCCAGAAGCCCAAATTTGGGTGGAGAATGAAAGGAAAAACATAAGCACGACGATTTCAAGGGATAAATTCACTTTTATATCCTCTACAAAATGACACAATCACCAATTTTTGAAAAGAATAATAAATGTGGGCTCACATTATTTTATTGAGAAATATAGAAGTCGGTACAAAAATTTGGACTTAGAGCAATACTATATAGACTTAATAGGTAGACTTAAAAATTAAATTTGATAATTAGAACCATTGATTTTATTGTGGGTCCCAGCATTTATTGAAATCCACTATCTATTCAATAGTTGAAATTATTAAGTTTAGTTTTTAAGTTCATTTAGCATTAATTGAGTTAAACTACATTAAGAAAACTTATTTGAATTTAAGTGCATTTTTATAAAAAAAAAAGAAAAAAGACTAAAAGATCATTTATTACTCCATAGTCTCTCTCTCTCTCTTTCCATTACTCTCTCATTCTCTTTCTATTTTCTCTATCTATCCCCTATTCCCTCCCTCATGGATAATTTATTTTTTTTATAAATATTTTGATTTAATTTTTTCATCTCTCCATTACTCTCTTTCATCTCTTTCTCTTTATATTCTGTATCTCCTTATATCAAAATTACAACAACATAATTACATTAATCAGTTATACTGACTAGTTATAATTATCTTATAATACATTAAATAGTTACTCATGTGTTCTAATAAACTAAATAATTACATTAAACAATTACATAAAATTACAATACTAACTCAATTTGTTATTTAGTTATTTACATAAACCAAAAAGTTATATCATTTAGTATCACGACATAGTTACAACAATTACATATATTAAATTAGGTTTATTATTACATAAAAGAGTTTACCATTACACCAAATTTGGTATTCTGGGCAATTGTTTAGTGTCTTATAGGATAATTGTAACTGATTGGTATAACTGATTTGTATAATTGTATTGTTGTAACGTTGACATAAAGAGAGAAATAATAAAGAGAGAGAGAGTAACGGTGAGAGAAATTAGAGTGAGAGAGAAAATAGGAGAGAGAGGTGAAAAAATCAAATTCAAATTTTTATATATTTGAAAAGAAAAATAAATTATCAATGGGAGAGAAAGAGAAAAAAAAATAAGGAAGATATAAAGAGACTAACGGAGAGAGAGAGAGAGTAATGGTGTGAGAAATAAGTGGAGAGAGAGTGAAAGAATAAAAATTATGCATAATTTAAAAAAGGGTAAGTAATTAAAAAAATTCAAAAGTCATTTGAATTTTGTGTCTAATCACAAAATGTTTTTATTAAAATTGAATTTAATTGAATAAAATACTTATCCGTACACTTCATCTCAAAAGTCTAAAAAAATGTATCTACTCCCAAAAAAATCTTATTTTATTTCTCAAATACAAGAAAAATAATAAAGTGGTGGGGCCCATAGAAACTTTTTGAGTTTATGTTTTATATCACACAAGGGCATTCATGACATTTAATAAATTATATGTTCAAAAAAAATTTATTCATCTCAAATAAATAAAATAAAATAATTATTTTTCCTAATTAACAAGAAGGAGGAAAAACGTCTTTCCTTCCCCAAAAGAAAGAACATATAGCCATCATATTTTTCATCTCTTATACTTTTCATTCCTCCTATCAGACATAGCATTAGGATCAAAAGGTTAAATTGGCCAATAAAATCGAAAAAAATGATACGTGAGCCAAGTAAACGAAAATTATGTAATAAATCTGTCAAATTTGAATGTAAAAAATATGACAAATTTATGATTTCTAGAGCACAATTGTTTTCTGATTGGAGATTGTCTACGAGTGGGGGAAAAGGGACAGAATTGAACAATACCAATTAAACTACTCATTCAGTTTCAATCTCTAATGGTGTTGATATTGCCTCCTATGAACTTTCAAGTGCAATAGTCTCAGCTGTTCCCAAAACCACACCATTTTCTACAGCAATGACACACTGATTGCTTCTCAACCAAATACAAAATTACAATTGCAGAAAGAAATGGGAATGTATGTAAAACATGCAAATAAAACCATCTCGAGTCAAAAAAAAATATATATATATATATCGTTGAAGATAAGAAAGTGAATGAAAGAAATATATATACATTAGTTTGTCCTAGAATAAAGAAACATGTGATTGTTTTTTTTTCATCACAGAAATCTCTTTCTTTTTGCTCCACATGCCTATCGTTACAGGAGGTGACAATCAGATCCAAACAAGCTCTTCTCAATCATCGACGATTCAAAAAAAATATTGGATTAAAGCAGTAGACCAAATCGGGTAAAGAGCAACGATGATGATGCAAATAACAAGAACCATAGCAAAGCATTTACATTTCCTCGAGCTCTTCTGATACTCCTTTGCTTCTTGGAGCTGTTCAGTCCCTCGTCTAACGAAAGAACTAGCATGTGCCACATGAGTCTCTATGTTATTCAATTGCTGCCCCTGTGCCTCCACAAGTGCAGCCATGTCTAAAAAAATCTGATGAAGTTCAATCAAATTCTTCTCAATCTCCTTCACAGCATCATGCCTCTCTTGAATTTCTGAAATCGTATCCATAATCTGACCGCGACCCTGTTCCTGAATCGCCTTTTGAAGGAATGTTTCACTCTCACCACTCGAAATCAAATCTTCAATCAATTCATCATTCGCCTTCTCACCCGTTACAGTGAAATATCTTCGCCCCACTGTTTCCTTGTATTCAGCATTCATATTAGTCCTTAACCCTTGAAAATCATCCATCATTGTCTTCAGCTTCTTCCCTAATCCACTCACTACTGAGGTTCGTGTTCGATCAGCAGACGAGCCTGGACCACACCCTGGAGTCTTCCTGTGAGCTGCATTGGATCGTTCGAGCGCCTCAAGCTTCCCTTTGATGATCTTAACCCGTTTCAAAACCTGTTCGACGTCTGAATCCATCCGGGATCTCAGCTGTTTCATGGTTTTTGCATTGTGAACCGTTTTGCTCTCTTCGTTCGATTCTTGCAGCCTTTTGTAGAGTTTCTCAACATTTCTCATATCTTCCTTGACATTCTCGACATCTTCAAAAAATTTGTCAAGATCAATGGTCTCATTTCCATTCCCTCCACCGGCCTCCATGTCATCGGCATAGGCCTGTTGTTTAAGGTCCTGGTATCGTTTGAATGAGTGGGAGAAAAGATCATTCATCTTATTTTGCCTTTCTTGAACAAGATTCTTCTCTTTACCTCAAAATTGCTTCTATTTAGAACAAAATTTTCGACAAGAATGTCAAGACCTTCCTTCTTTCCTCTGGTTTGGTTTTTTCTTGGAGGAAGAAGAGAAGGTGATAAAAGCAAAGGACTTCTTCATCAAGAAAACAATGGGATTCATTAGAGGCATTCAGTGCACATGGGATGAAAGCCAACCAAACTAGCTTGAGGACAGCCATTAAATCAGGAGAAAGCAAATGGCTGCTCACATTTTGCCACTAGAAATGAGGCGAAAGAACACTTTACATCCCAAAATTCTTCAAATACTTGGTTTGCATCTTGAAAGATTTAAAATTTTTACATTACACTTTTAAATCAAAGAAAAAGTAGTATCGTGGTCTTTTTAAAGAAATTAGGTTCAAATTTTTTATTTAAAATATTTTTTTTACTATAATGTGTTCAAACTTGTGCTTGAGCGAGTTTAGAACATATCTCCCAAGAAAAAAAGCTGGTTGACTCTCAGGGGGTATTGAAAGCGTTAAACCTAAGACTTCTAGATTACTAGATGATAGACTCAACTATTGAACCGCCTCTAAGGATTTTCTAGAATACTTAAAATTGAGGAATGAAAAATGTTATACTGCCCAAATCAAAACTCAAATCTCTCATTCCAAACACATTTACACCTGACTGAATTAAAAAACTGATTTTTTGGGGACCCATAAAATAATATGTGAGGTGTAAATGCATTTAGTACGAAAGATTTGAGTTTTGATTTAGATAGCGTATCAATTTTCATTGAGTAATATACAAATAATTGAGTACAAAAAAATATGTAAAATTAGAGCAAAGAAAAATTAATTAAAAAAAGGACATTTAATTTTGGACCATTGCTACCTTTTTGGGTTTTGTTTAACTGAATGTAAAAGGTGAAAATTTTGATCTTTTTTGAGAATAATTAAAAATTTAAAGATATTTGGGATTCAAAGTGTAATTCACCCTAGTTACGTGATCTTTCAAGAAATATCCTAGTATTGGGCTTGACTTGGTCAAGCTTCCAGTTTTGTGGTAATTATAAGGCTAAGCGAGCAATGTGGGTGACCCTAGTTAGACTAATATGGACTTTACTAAGACACCAATGACTGTTTTAGAGTCTGCCACACGAGAAACAATTTGGCATGGAAGCCTTTTCATATGATTTTTAGTAGTTCCGAAAAAAAATTGGGCATTGCGGTTTAAGGTTTGGTGTTTAGGGTACAATTTATGTTCTTGGATTAACGCTGAAAATTTCGTCACAATGCACATAGTTAAAAGGAGAAAACAAGGGCATGTCATTCTTCAACTATCAAGAGGAGCACATAGAAGACATCAACTCAACTGTTAGAAGCATGGCAACCTCTCTCTCTCTCTCTCTCTCTCTCTCTCTCTCTCTCTCACACACACACACACACTCTCTCTCTCTCTTGTCCTCGTTGAGTTGTCGGAGAGATCAATAATTAGCATTATTGTTAGACCAAGAATAAAAGAAGTTATGCACAAATCTCATTTCGATCATGTTGTTGTTGTTGTTGCTGCCACAATTTCTGTTGAATAATATTACACTTTAAGCTCCACTCTCGCATCTGCCCACAAAAAAAAAAAACAAAGTTAAGAGAACTCAACATTAATTGCGCCTAACGAACCAAAGCATAATACACACCAAAACTAAATTAGTATATATGACTCCATTTTTTTTTTCCTTTTTTTGGGTGCTATATGGCTTAAATTTAGAATAGGGATGATTAGTGGTGGTGCCGAAACCATGGTTAGTGTATAGCATGCGAGAAACGACAAACATGTAGCCAGATGAATTAAAAAAAAAAACACAAATACACATTAATTTATGATTCGGCTCAAAGGTCTAGGTGGGCGGGAGAAGCCCGATGTAAAAGATCACTAACCAAGAGAAATGAGTAACAAAGAGTTTTATGAAATGAAGGTAAGAGAATAAAAATTTCTCCGAAATTGAATTATTTATGGCACCTAAATTCTTATACTACCTAATAATAGAGCTAGATTTTACCAATCCTAAAGAAATGAGATTTACTAAAGAGCCCTCAATCTCCTTTTTGGGTTAGACTTTCGGGTCGGGTCCCCAAAACAATAGGCTCAGCAATTTTCTTTGTTAAAATTAATACAAACGGGTTTTATGTTGGCGTGGATACAAATCAAAACATAATACAGGACATGCACAAGGACCACAACCAAGTATGTATTGAAATTGTGTATTGGCGCTTGTTTGTTATACAAAGCCATGGTTAGCACACAGTACACACACACACACACATATTTGAAAATGATACTAAAGCAAATTTATATTTTACCTCTAGCTTCAAAATGATCTTGAAAAGCTCTAAGCACTCTTCCAATAGGGATTTCTCTTGTGCGACTACCTCTGCTAATTCCGAAACCATTGACACCGTCTTCTCAGCCTGTATTGACAAACTTAATCAGGATACTTCAAAAAAAAAAAAAATCAGCATCCCAATGGACTACAATTGCTTAGTAAATGCAGCCTGCCTACCGCGGATGAAGAAGCAGCTAACATCATCTTCATGGATGCTGCAAGGTCTGAGGAATGTCGTATTGCAACCGAAACTAGTTGTGGTTCCACCTGCCAAGCTTATTAGGTTTGTTAGTCAAGTGCTCATTTCTGTCTTGTCTGTGAATGTTAATTGATGGAATTAATGGATAAAATGAAGAAAGAGATCAAAGTAAAAAAAAGTACGATTTAGAACAAGGAAATGGAAGATCGAAAGTCAGATGAATTCACAATGATTTTGTGTTTGAACAGACATAGTTACAATCAGCAGCTAATATGATAATAACAGTACCTTTGCCCCTTCAATAAGGGGTACCCTACAAACAACAGAGTGCAAACAATCTTTGGTCATAGATACTGCTGATAGGTGTTGCCATTCCATATCTCCCCAAGCTTCCAATGGCTTAATCTACACATTCATATATAGCATATTCAGCACTCATATCATGATTGATCGTATATATGCATCATATTACTATACTGTCACTTACAACTGATTATCAATAACATCATGTATGATACCCGACTTGAAAAGTAATAATAATAATTACATTACAGAATTTGGGAGGTCAAAATGCAAGTTCCTACAGTAATGAGGAGGGTTAGTGTCATTTAAACAAACAAACTAAACTTATTTGATTCGTGACGCTATCGCCCCCTTACAATTTCATGAAGTTGTATTTGGACCCAAAAATATAAAGTAATTTTTATTTTTATTTTTTTTTGTTATTTTCTAGTTCTGGGTAATCACATTAGTACAAAATGGTGAGTTAAAAGTATATTTATTACTAACTTGAGAATGAAGCACAATATTCAGTTTCATCTGCAGCTTCTCTTTCTCTAGCTGCAACTTCTTTTGTAGTACAGAATGTTGCAACTTTGCAAGTCCATTCCAGGCATAAGACAAGTTACTCTGCAAAATAATCAAAATCTTCTTTATTTATGGGACACTAACACCAATCAAATATCTTAATATTCACACGACAACACGATAATATGTTAAATTTGTCATCTTCTTCGACTCAATCTCAAAAATGCCTCTCATATATATATCATAAGTGTAATTAAAATTTACATGAGTATCCAGTGATGAGAGTCACATCCATTGAACTAACTTTTTGCAGGAGGGAGGGTAGAGGCCCTAAAGACATCAATTTAAAAAGTATAGTGGAGACTTTGATTCGATGCTTATAGAATTTGTAGGTTTATAAACAAATGTTTTTGACCTAATGGTACCTCCATACTATTATAAAGTACACCTGATCATAGTTTCCAATAGAATCCCATGTAAAATCGTATTTTATTGATCTTAGAAATATAAAAATCCGGCAGTCCCTTCAATTGGGAGGTTTTTGTTATTGATTTAAAATTAAAAAATCTTAAAAATGTTTTGCAAAGTATGGCATTGTTATATTAATTTTCCTCCCAAAACATATTGAGCATATACACTTCTTCTATGTTTTATTGTTTTTGAGTAATACTACTTATACCTAATTAACTAATCTAATGTGTTGATAGAATCAATCATAGTAGACCCGAATATTGATTAGTACCTTCTGTCAACCCAAAAATAAAATAAATTCAATCACGTAATTATGTCAATAAATTAAATTCGAATAATATTATCGCTTCCTATAAAAGCCATAGATCACCATATATATATAATTCTCAAATTAGAAAAAAAAAAAAAAAAAAGAAAAATCATACAAACCTCTGCCTGATTAGCTAAGCTCAGATTCACAGCCTCAGCTCTAGCATTAGCAAACCTCCATTGCACCAACCTATTCTGCAACAGTCTGATCTGATGAAAGCTCTCTGTCATGGCAGGCCCTAGAGGAGATGAACTAGTACTTGAAGAAGCTTTCTTAACCTTAAACAATTCAAGCCCCCTACTCAGCAAATTCCCAACACCTTTAGCGTTGTACGGACTCGTCGGAGGCTTCAAACTCGAAAACGACATCGAAGTTCCCTTGCTCTCAGTCGACACTGGCGGCGAACTTGACCTCGCCGGTGACAAGGCCCACTGCGACGTCGTAGACCCATAGGTAGTAAGCGAATTTGTCCGCTTCATTGAGTTTTTTATGGCCGATTTCTTGGGAGAATTGTCCGATGAAACTGGGTGTTGAGTGCTAGAATCAACAGTCCACCGCCGAGACCTTGATGGCAAATCGTTCATGTATTTTGAAGAAACCACTTTACCGGCCTTTCTTGAGCTCACCGTCGGTGCCATATAGGAAGCCGGAAACCTTTTTCCGATTACCGGTGATTCAAAACTCGAGCCGGAGCATATGTCACTGCACTCGGACTCTGAATCTTGTGTTTCTGTTAAGATATCAGATATTCGAGGAAGTGAATTCATCCGAAGCGCATTTGAATCCACCGAAAACCTTCCGGGAACTGTATGATCGTGATCATCGACTAAACTCGACGATTTTGACAACGCCGATGATGAATTCGATGATTTTCCCGGAAACCTGAATTTTCCGGTATACCTCATCGACCCACCAAAGAATGGTTTATGATTTTCTTTGGCGATTGATTTCTCGTTCTCAAACCTACTAAACTCCGTGCAGCTTCTTTGTCTGTTGAAGAACATCGACTTCTCAGACTTTTCATGGCCTTTAATTCTCTCAATTCCAAGATGATCAGCGAGAGTGCTTTGTTTTTTACTCAAAGAAGAAGAAGATGAAGATGATGATGATGAACCAGAAGATGGCCAAAGCCCTAGTACAAAACCTGAAGATTCGAGGCTTCGGTGCTTTTGGCTATCGGTGGATGATCTGGGTTTTGCTCGGAGTGGATAGAGAGTGTGGTTTGGACTTTCAATGGAAGGTGTGATGCTCGATGAGAGAAAGCGAGAACTCACTTCACGGGACTTCGGCTTCCGTTGCTTTGAAGATTGGTCGGAAACTAAGGTTTCACCGCCGTCCGTCTTCATTGTGTGTGTGTGTGTGTGTGTGTGAGAGAGAGAGAGAGAGAGAGAGAGAGAGAGGATTTGGGAATGTTTGTTAGTTACCGATAAGGGATGAGAAGAAAAACAAACACTTGAAAAGTGGCGCTAAAAGGGATAATAAGCCGGCGGAGGCGAGGGTTTATGACTGATGATATAGTGAAGTTACTGAAATGACCTTTACAGGCCGGTTCATTTTTGGTATTCCTTGGAGGAAGGTAAGGGTGGTTTGGGGATTGAATTGGTTTGACTGTGTAAACGTGAGGAGGTTTTTGGACTGAGAAAGAGACGTTGGGTAGTAGGAGACAAGGATAAATTACTGACTTCGAAGTGATTGAGGATTCTGATGTTTATGCTTAGCCGGCTTTTTCAGTGTTCCGTATGGGACAATAGGCACGTGCCAAGTGTATTATTATTATTTTTCAAATAATTAAATGTTATTAGCACCTCATTTACATCTTTATTTGTCACCAACTAATTATTGTTGGAGTCCCGATATTAAATGAACTCAACTATCAATTTTAACACGAGTAATAAATTTAGCCAAAATTTATCCCAAAAAGAATTATTGGAATTTTAATTGTCTCATTTCATGAAATAGGGTCACACATATTTGATGTCAATATGGATTATTTAAAAATTGACCACAGATTTTTAAGGCAAAAGTTAATTAAGAAACAAATATAAATTAAGTCTATCAATCGTTTTGAGTGAAGCAGATTCATATCAAATTTTAGCTGATTTTTGTGCAAAAATAATTTACTCATACTTGATTCGTTTATTAATTCGTGTCTAACAAACTATGATCGAGTCTGTATCGTGTATAAATCTTGTATAATCTATATATAAATGATTCGAGTTAAATATTTTTTTTGATTTGTTTCACTCATACCCATTTCATTTAATAATCGTGTCATGTTGTGTCGGTTACGAAACAGATGACTTAATGACACAAATCCTTTAATTTCGTGTTGTGTTAATAAATTGTGTCATGTTTTAATACCTTTGGTTTAAACAAACGACCGTTAATTATACGAATAATAATTAATCACTTATATGAATAATAAATAGGAGAGGTTATTGTTAGAAAAGTATAAACCATTTAACTAATATTATAAAAAATATATANCTTATATGAATAATAAATAGGTGAGGTTATTGTTAGAAAAGTATAAACCATTTAACTAATATTATAAAAAATATATATATGTTCTTAGGTATTTTATGATATAGTATACGAACAGTAGTAGAATTAAGTTTTTTAATTCGTTTTGATAGGATTTAGACAAAAACAGTTTTAATTGAATTAAAAACCCTTCGGTTTTTAATACGAAATAAGTCAATAACATTACCTATACCTAGATATGACGTGAAACGGCCCGAGAGAGAGAGTAGTGTTCACAGAATCACAGCCCAGTTTTCTCTTTCTCTTAATGGTGCATTCCTTCCCAGTAATGTTACTTGATTTCAAAATATTGATATTATTTGTTAATTTTATTGATCATTGTTATTGATTTAATTATAAATCTCAGTATTTATTATAATTCACTATTTATTCAATAATTGTGATTGATAAAATCAACAAATGATGTCAACATTTTAAATCTAAATAGCATTTATCGCTCCTTAATAATTGAACCCCTTCTCCACTTTAGTATGGTTTATGTGGTATGATGAAAAAGTTGAAATACAAAAATGAAAACACACANAATAATTGAACCCCTTCTCCACTTTAGTATGGTTTATGTGGTATGATGAAAAAGTTGAAATACAAAAATGAAAACACACACATTTTATTTATGAAATTTTTGAATTTCATGAGATTAGGCCCGTCAATCGTATTGATTGAGGCAAGTTTGTGCCGAATGAGGCAAATTCATGTCGAGTTTTAGTACGTTCATATCAAAAAGTACTCTACTCATACGCATTCGTTTATTAATTCATATCTAATGAATTGTAACATATCAAATACATGTCGTATATTTCTTTTAATTAAATTCATTCATACCCGACCCAAACTCTCTAATTTCATATAACATTTGTGGCATGTAAAAGAATTGTATCATATTTTAACATCCTATATGACAATAAAAAGTGTATTCCTCCAGTCTCTTTCTTTCAACATTTTTATCTTTTCTATCAAATGAGACTATAATCTCTCACAATGAGTATTTAGAAAGACAGATAAGGCCAGGGCTCATTTTTTTTTTTTTTTTTNATAAGACTATAATCTCTCACAATGAGTATTTAGAAAGACAGATAAGGCCAGGGCTCATTTTTTATTTTCATTTTGCCATTGATTTGTTGGTGTTAAAATAAAGCCTCTGAAGCATTTCTCACTGAACATTTGTTTCCAGTAGCACCTTATAGAACTGAGATTGTCTTCAAGATTTTTAGTAGGTATGGCAATAGGTCAGTTATTGACTCAAATCATACACAACTCTTTTGTAGTCATGTATAATAGGGCTTATATTGTAAATGGCTGAATTCACATCCCCCAGCCCCCCACAAGTTCATTAAGTGAATTTGGCATGCCAATCCGATTATGGTCCGAATTAGTAATAACAATTTTATGTCATATTAACGAGTCATGTTAAGAATTATAAAGGAAAATATCATTATAGTAACTAGTGAAAAAAAATAAAGGAAACGTCACAACAGAACGGCAAGTTAAATGTTGACATGGCATGTTAAAAAGGAAAGAGGTCTGGGATTCATAACTTATAGCCAACAGGAAAAAACATCCTTGCAATCTATTTTCAATAGGGTTGTATTTTGTTTTTTGGACAGAATAGGTGGTGTAGTTAACAAAATTTAAACAATAAACAGAAAGAATGAAAGAGGACACTAACCTCATTTCTCTCACCAATGCTGGAAGCAAAGAATACAACATATGGAAGTCCGGCTAATTGTTGTGAAACTGGGTACTCATCAAGCTGATGTCTGGAGGCTTAAAGCTTAAAGTGATCATGAATACAAAATTCTGTATAAGGAACAAAGGAGGCTAACAAACTTCTACATTATATGAAATCTGAAGATACAGTATCGAATCAGAAAATGAATAAATAGCCCTATTGATATTTCATGCTACAACAGGAAATTCGAACATCAACTAAATAAAGAGAATACAACTACTAACACTGCCTTATCTAAGCATTCTCAGAGTACAAGAATTCAAACCTCTAGCAATGCCAGTATACTGCAGACAAGATGAAACTGCCATATTGAAAATCAATGGAAGTTGCATTGTTGTAATATAGGATGAGTGTAATCCACATATTTGTCCCAAAGTGGTTTGTACTTTTCTATCCCAATCTTCAACCATGGCTTTGAGTTCCCATTGAAGTGGAGCACAGCCCCCTTTTCAATCAACTGAGGATCGACATTTGTGTAGCCCAAACCCAACACATGCCATGAGGGATTCAATGACTCTGTCAAACCATAGAAGGTCAAAAGTCCAGGCGGTAATGTGCCAAGTTTCCACAAGGTCCGGTCTACATTTTTTTCCTGCCAGTAGTGATAGATGCCGGTCACATTCCTTTTCCTCCACTCAACCAAATCAAAAACATTCATCCCAAATGCCCACCCACATGCATCAGGATCAAAATGTGCTCGTATGAGAGGATGAGAATAATTCAAATATTTATGGTATCTGTGAAATGTTTCCATGCATGTCTCCACTGCACCATTAACGTTGCCATTCAGATCAATGGAAAACAGACCTGATAGATCTTTCTGAACTACAACATCATCATCAAGAAACACTAACTTCTTCAATGCAGGAAAAACTTCAGGAATNATGTTTCCATGCATGTCTCCACTGCACCATTAACGTTGCCATTCAGATCAATGGAAAACAGACCTGATAGATCTTTCTGAACCACAACATCATCATCAAGAAACACTAACTTCTTCAATGCAGGAAAAACTTCAGGAATGTAGAACCTGAGATGGTTAAGCATAGATAAATATTTAGGATTTCGGAACTTGATTGGAGTCCTGCCATCATCACTGTTGCCANATGTAGAACCTGAGATGGTTAAGCATAGATAAATATTTAGGATTTCGGAACTTGATTGGAGTCCTGCCATCATCACTGTTGCCAGAAAAATAATAGTTCTGAGTATTAGAATCTTGAAGCTGTTTAAGAACAGGAACATAAGAAGCATTTAACCAGCTGAAGTCTTCTATCTTTTGAACATCAACAGTCACCCCTCGGAAACTGTTCACGTGGAACCAAGCCTTCATTGCGGCATAATTAACTTCATCAGTTACAAGGTGGAAGACTACCATATCAGGATTTTTGGAATTCAATGCAGTTGAATTTACCACAACGGAAGTAGCAAGAATGTTGTCAGAGAACACGCAGAAATGATAGAGATTGTTATCTTTCATTCTCATCGCTATTTGCTTTTTTTCTTTATGTTTTCTTTGTAACTCAGAGTTTTTGAACCATTCGGTCGTTAGCTGTACACCAAGGCAGTATAGGCTCTTCGGGACTTCTTCAGCAGCTATTTGCCCGTACTTGGAACTCTTTTCACTCACAGAGTTCATCTGTTCTTCAAGACCCTGGATTTTGGCTTTCAGTCTCATTATCATGGTTGCACTGTCATAGTGAAGTTGCTGGCCTTGGTAGAGCAAAAGTGCCATATCACGGATTACAGTTTCTGATTCGGTAGTTGTCAAAGGAGTTCGCCTTAGAGCAGCATTTGAGAGAAGAATCTGTGAGTTACGGATCTGGGCACTGAGTTCCCAAGCAAATTGGAGGTTGTTGCTTTCTTTTGCCATCACAATAAATGCCTTTGCGAGAGAAATTTGATCATTAATTTGCCTTGTGAACGAGTCGGGGCTCAACATTTCTTCGGTAATGTTGAGACCTTCTATAATTCTCTCTTGCCTGTAAGATCTCTGCAGAACACAAACAAAAGAATAAATATCAAAATAGGATCTCAAACCACAAATAACTCTCTCTCTGTGGGTAAGTACATTTAGAGGACTCGACCCAGGATGACCACCAACACGCACTAACTAAATAAGCTAGTGTGCATTTTTTTTTTGTCCTAAAAAAACATAAATAAACAAAAAGACATTCTTGTTTCTTTACATGCCCAAACATACGTTTAATAGTCATTCTTGTTTCTTCTAATATTATCACCTAAAACTATGATTTTATTAAAAGTGATACATCCAATTTACAACTAAGCATCTCTAAAGCCAAATATACAAGTGCACCTGTGTATCTACATCAGAGAATTGGTACATCGATAGCTTATTAAAAAAAAAAAAAAGGGGGGGATTGAATGGAATATAATACAAGTGATGAACAGATCTCCAACCCAAATAGAAGCAGATAAAGAAAGAAACACACACTAGCAAATACATCTAATTTTCCAAAGAGTGAGCTTATCTTTTAAAAAGATTCTTGCTATTGCATTAGACATTCTAGGATTTGAACCTAGTTTGCCAATTAGAAAAAACAATGTATCTACTTTGTTCCATTCTAAATCTAAGCAGAAACGAGAGGAAAAATACAATGTTTTGGAGGACAACAACTATTTAAACTCCTTTGAAAATAATCAAATCCGAACTAAAGGACAAGGAAGCCATGATCCAGCCAGTGCCAGAAATTCGCTATCATGATTAGGCCCTTGCCACATTTAATCAGTAACCTTATCCTTTGGAATGCGAATCGAGATGATTTTCACACACTCTTCTCAAGACAGATCAAGTTTCCCATGTCTCAAGGTTTTATTTTAACACAATGGCTCCCCTGAGATAGTATGTAAGTCTCTTGGAGTGAAATTAATGGATTCTGTTTGAGNGTGAATCGAGATGATTTTCACACACTCTTCTCAAGACAGATCAAGTTTCCCATGTCTCAAGGTTTTATTTTAACACAATGACTCCCCTGAGATAGTATGTAAGTCTCTTGGAGTGAAATTAATGGATTCTGTTTGAGCTTATTTCTATCTCAAGAGAGGCCCAGTGTACAATGCTCCTGCCACTGTCCGATTATGTAATAAAAATTTTAACAATTACAATATCTAGCTCATGATTTTGAAATGGCCTCTAGACAATCAATGCACACTTGATATGCAACTGTACGTGATATTTCATAACACGCTAATTGGAATGCCTAAATTAACTTCTCTCTCTCCCACCCCCATCCCCTCCCAAAAAAAAGGCATAGCCTCTATGTGAAGNCCGTACGTGATATTTCATAACACGCTAATTGGAATGCCTAAATTAACTTCTCTCTCTCTCTCTCTCTCCCACCCCCATCCCCTCCCAAAAAAAAGGCATAGCCTCTATGTGAAGCTTTCTCTTATTTCTTATAGGGTTGCATTTATATGGCTAAAAAGGGCGTACCCAGTGCATTTGCATTGCTACTACNCTATGTGAAGCTTTCTCTTATTTCTTATAGGGTTGCATTTATATGGCTAAAAAGGGCGTACCCAGTGTATTTGCATTGCTACTACTTATTATTATGCAAAGGTCAACTCAGTAGTTGTTTGATAAATTCTTAACACATCCATGCCTCTTTGGAGCATGTTTTTGCTATAAAGAAGTCATAGGCAGCTGCAGCTTCTAAGATCACAAATTGGGCGTCTTGCGATTCCCCAAAATCTTATATTCAGTGTTAGTCTACGACTTGCCCAACTTGACCATCTTAAAAAATTTGAGATACATTATCTCCTATTCCATAAGTCTAACAACTTTCAGCTATGAATAATGATTATTATCTTCTTTATACACACTAAGCTACCACACATTGGTACCTCAACATCCTACCCTCCCATCCAATTTACCAGCCATCACGAATATAGCATCAGTTAACACCCTCTGAGCCTTTTACATCTTAACCATGGCTCCTTATATATTCTTTCGTTCCCTTGTTGGGAAACAAAAAGCAATTGAAATTCCCCCTAAATAATGGCATTTAGTTACTGATAAAAGCAACCTCAACGATGTGCTCCAAGCAGCTCCAGCTCCATCAAGTGAATTCTGAATTGTATAAAACCTTCACCTTCGAAGTCACTCCGTCAAAATATTACCTAATATTGACGAGTTCATTTGACCGTTTTCTCCACAAAATGATAGCACAAGAAAATTTCACGACATATTAAAAGAAAGAGCACCACCTAACAAAATTGCTTCCAAAGGAAAAGGATAGAAGGTTATATTGCCTATATCAACAAATAATAGGTAACCGATAGTTCGACACCAACAAAATTTTCTTGTATGGAATGTCAACGTGATTTACATTTTGAAACACTTAGCGGAATTTGTGATGCATAAGGTAGATTATGGAACCAGTTTAACTAACCATATAAAGTGAAACCAAATGAGAAATTACAATAAGTATATGATCTGAATTGTAATGTTCCTTCCATTTCCAACAGTGTCTCAGCAACCAATCAGATCATAAATGTAAAAGAGTAATTATACACAATCCGTAAGAATGGGTCATTAGCACATAACCTTAGATAATGCTGATCTCGATGTCGGCTGGCTCTCTCGACTCAACACAACAATGAAGAGCAAAACCACCAATCCACAGAGTGTCAACCAGAATACATTCGAAAATCGCCGCCTCACCGGCCGCCGGAAATCCGAACCTCGTCGCCTCATCTTCTTCAAATTAACGCACAAAATTGAATTTAAATATAAAAAATTAGGGCTTCTGATCTGGAGTCGGCTTTATTGGCATGTATATGGAAGAGTTTAGTACCACTGGGAAGTGGAAGTAGAACAGAAGGGGAGAGAGAGAGTCTCACAGTGAATCGAAGGAGAGAGAGAGAGAGAGAGAGAGAGAGAGAGAGATCTACCGCTGTGCTTGACGGACCATGAGTATAACCGTACATTTGTGAGCGGTAAAATTATCTTAATATTTGGTAGTATATACGCTCATACTTTTTATTTATTTATTTAAATTTTAATGTTAATTATACCGGAGCTCCATAAAGTATGAAATTTATTTTATTTTGGTCTTAATATTTTAATTATATCATTT